GGGCTGTGTGATGAGGGGCTGCTGTTCTGAGAGCTGGAGTGGAAAGCGAGCCCGTTCCCGTGGGGTGCTGGCAGCTGGTGCTGCCGGTGACCTTTTTCCGCGGATATCTTTCCTAGTGGATTCCTGTCACCAAGCTTGGTCGCCTGGTCAAGGATATGAAGATCAAGTCTCTTGAGGAGATCTATCTTTTTTCACTTCCAATCAAGGTAAGCTTTTGTGAACGTTGAAGTAACATGCAGTAGCATCTTAATCTGAACTGCAGAGTTGGTGGTAGTTGCTGCATTTGCTATTTGGGATGCTCGGGTTAAGTGTGTTTGAGTTAGAGGCATAAAGCAACAGAAGTTGAGGACTGATGTCAATTCTAGTGAAGGGTGGTGGGATTTGTGTGTTACGCTGCCATGTGTGAAGATGGCAGCACGTTGCTCAAGTGTTTGTGTAATAGCTCTGCTCAATGACAATTAACTTACTGTTTTGGACTGCCTAGCAACCTAGAATAAGCTTATGCCTGCAAAATTGAACACCCTTAAGTACCTATTATTTAAAATATATGTGTATAGGGCTGTTGAATTGTAGGAGCCTTCCTAGCTCTGTTGTGTTTGTTTAAAAAGTGTGGCCGTGTGTCATTAAATAACTGACTGTTGCAGGAGTCGGAGATCATCGATTTCTTCCTGGGGTCTTCTCTGAAAGATGAGGTTTTGAAGATCATGCCTGTCCAGAAACAGACTCGTGCTGGTCAGCGTACCAGGTTTAAGGTAGTCTTTTTTCTTTTGTTTTCTCATGTTGAAAACTTCACATGTGTTGTTTGCTGCTTTTTTTGTATCATATCAATAAATTAGTTCAAATACCCTTCTTTTTTTCTGTAGTATCTAGTAGACATTTTGGTATGGGCATCAGCTTGTATAGCTTACAAAGTTTTTGTATTAACTTTAAAACCCTGGTAATATGTTTAAATGTTATCTGAAACAGCCCTAGGGGAAAATTAAGTCGTAATTGTGCAGCAATGTTGGCTTTTCAGGGGCTGTGGCAGAGAGACAAGTCTTAGGTGTGAAGAGGGAATGCTGTTTGGAAACTATTGGGACTTTTGACCGGTATGCAGCAGTAAGCAGGGATTTGAATCCCAGTTCTTCAGCCTTAGCTGTTTGTGACTGAAGGACAAACACTAAGGGGGAAAATGGGCTTCTTGAACTGTTTGCTGCTGAGCGCGCACCTCAGTTACCCTTGGTGAGAGACCCTGATGGACTGTGCTCTGCTGGGGGAGTGTTCCTGCACAGTGCAGCCACCACTAAAAACTTCTCTTTCCGTCCTAGGCTTTTGTAGCTATCGGGGACTACAACGGCCATGTCGGTCTTGGTGTTAAATGCTCTAAAGAAGTTGCCACTGCTATTCGTGGGGCAATCATTCTGGCTAAATTGTCCATCGTACCAGTACGACGAGGCTATTGGGGGAACAAGATTGGCAAGCCCCACACTGTGCCTTGCAAGGTGAGAGTGACTTGCTGGGCCTGGGCTCAGTGATCGGGCTGTAGTGTGCATTTGGGGAGCTGTAACCTTTGTGTTTGCGTAGGTCACTGGCCGGTGTGGATCTGTCCTGGTGCGTCTGATCCCAGCCCCCCGTGGTACAGGGATTGTGTCTGCCCCTGTGCCCAAGAAGCTGCTGATGATGGCTGGTATTGATGACTGTTACACCTCGGCCAGGGGCTGCACTGCCACCCTCGGCAACTTTGGTAAGCTTTAGGTTTTTGTGTTGTACCTTAGCTGTGTCTATTTGCTGGTTTTGTCATTGTCAGGGACACAATACACCCATTTCCATAGTATTTTCTAATCTGTGTTGAATCAAAAGCTTCTAACAGTCAGTTAGGAGCAAAGGCTTCTGCTGATACCTTTTACAGTGCAGGTTAGTCTTCCTGTAGATGATCCTGACGTTCTGTAAAAATTAATTACAATAAATTGTCTTTTTGTATGTGTGTTGGTGGTTAAAAGAAAAAAAGAAATCTCCCAATCTGCGCGATTGCACTTGTTTGAAGTAGTGTAATTGTCGTAAATGGAGAGAGAAAGAAACTTGAGTTTTGGGTGTATATCAGAGAGACCCTGCTGTGGTCTCCCTGTTCCTTCCTAAATTCTACATTTTCGAAGCTGGGTGGGTGTGTACTAGCGAGTGGGTTTCTGTAGCTGTGCTGTGCAATGTTTGATTTCTGTCTGTAGCTAAAGCCACCTTCGATGCCATCTCCAAGACATACAGTTATCTGACTCCTGACCTCTGGAAAGAGACTGTGTTCACCAAGTCTCCTTACCAGGTAAGAGTATGTGTGTGGTTTGCAGCTCAAATCTTACCCTTCCTGCCCTTTAAAGTTCAGATGCTGCACCCAAAAAATTTTCAGTTTAATAATGGAAGAATAGAGTTGCAGTCAGAGCTGACTGCCAGGTAGAGAGTGATTTCCCCCCCCCCCCCAAAAAAAACCCGCCAGTATGCAGTTTTGAGTAATACTTGAAAATGGCTTTTCATGGATAAATGAATTAGGAAGAGGAAAGCTTTGAAAAATTAAGTAAAAATAAGTTGTATCTGAACTACTGCCACCCCAACGTACACATCTTGTTGGAAAGGGATGCAGTGCTGAGAAACCAGTGATTGTGGTTTAAGAAAACAAAACACTATTTTTTTTTTCCTTTTTGCAGGAGTTCACTGATCATCTGGCTAAGACCCACACTAGAGTCTCTGTGCAGAGAACCCAGGCAGCTGCTGTGGCAACAACTTAAGTGGTTTTTGTACAAGACAATAAAGTGATCAGTGAACAAGAAATTGCGATTGGTTTGATGGGATGGTCAATGCGTTGGGCAGATGGATTAAATCTCTGCTGGGGATTTGAGGAGGTTCATGTCTGTGGGCCAGAGCCTGGACATCTGTTAAATGAAATGCTATGTTACATTATACTAATCCTTGTTAATCATGTATTAATCCTAAATGGGGTCTAGAATGAGCTCTGAGGATTATGTGCTGTCCTGCAGCACATAATCTTTACTCTAACCGAGGGAATTCTCTGCCACAGCTGGGCAGAGCAGTATGGGGTGCTTCTGTTGGTTCATGGAGGTGGGGAAATCCCAGCTAAGGCAGCAGCCAGGGCTGCCTGGAGTTGGGGGCTGAGTGTGGTTCAGGGGATGGTAACCATCAGCTGGAATGCAAAGAGGAATGCAGAGCTGAAAAAGGAAGAACTGTTTGCAAATGTCTTCAAAGAACAAGTCTAGATTCTAGTTGTATGGCAGATGTCTGGGCTGCACATTTATTGTAGAGGTCAACAGCATCAGAGTTCAAAGAGGCAACATGCAGTATTCCATACAAGCACCGCACAGGGAGCTGCTAACCATTTAGATCTACTGAGATGCGTTTGCTTGTGCCTTTCTCTCCTCTATCATCCTGTGCTTCTGCTTCATCAGGCACGTCCTTGCATTTCCGTGGACACCAAGATCACCATCTAAAAAGAAAATAAATGTCTGAAGAGTGTGTCTTGGCAGCTAAACAGAAATAAGCCTCTGTTCTGTGTGAAGTCTGGGATGTAGCTTAAGCCCTGCCTTTCCCTGCGTGCTGTCACAGCCACAGCAGAGGTGTGCAGGCTGTTCCGTACTCACATCTGTCCTGGTAGGCCTTGGTGACCTGCACCAGCTGCTCCATCTCCTTGGCACAGTTCTGGAACTGGTTGGGTCCTTCCCTCTGCTTGCATGCACCTAATCTTTCCCGGACTATCTCCACGATTTCCTGATCAACCATCCTGCAGGAAAGATGATGATGAATGCAATCACAGAGAAGAGATGATAGAAAAGCTGAACAAAGGGGCAATGATGCCTTGTGGAAGGTCAGCTGTGCGTATTTACAGGATCCTGGTCTGTCCTGTAGCACTGCTGTGGGAACCAAGTGGTGGAGGAGGGTGTCTCCTAATGCCACCCTGCTTGGCTCAGGAGTTCTGCAGGGGATGGCAGGACTATGAAATGGGTGTTCTGCAATGGAGTGGGCAGGAGGTGCTGCCTCAACACCCCAAAGTCAATGAAAATGCTGCAGTCCCCAGGGCTGACAAATGAGAGCAATGCCTGGGGCAGCCCAGTGACAGCCATACCTGTCCCTCCTCCACTGTGCTTCGGCCTCGAAGAAGCAGAGGTAGTCGCCCTCCAGACACTCGCTCAGGTCAGGCACGCGACGAAACTTCTGGTGGTAATAGTAGAACTTGTTCTTGGCTTGCTGGCGCTCGATCCATTCTGCAGCAACAGTCCTGCAGTCAGACACCCCTGGCCCACAACTAGCAAGTGGGCCCTGTGTCTTGTGGGTGTCAAGCTTGGTGTTCCCTGCCCCTGTGTGCCTGTCCCTGTGTCAGTGTCCCACGTCTCAGTGTATGTGCTGTGTTCTTATCTGTGTCCCGTGTCCCTGTGGTTGTGCCCTTGTGTGTCCCATCTCCCTGTACCCGTCCCGGTAGCCA